GACTAAAACATACTCCTAGATTAAAGACCAAAGAAAGCATAACCTAATGGGTTGTGTTAACATACAAGAAGATTGTGTCAAGTACTAGGGGAAAAAAATCAAACAAAAGAATAAGAATTTATTATCAAGGGCCGGGGGAGAGAGAGCTTTGCATATTCCAATCCACACGGTAATTTCTCACTGGAATTTGTAAACTGATTTATCAGTCAGGATCTTTAAGCTGCAAGCAACAGAAACCTTTCTAGCTAATTTAAAGAAAAGCAGTTTTTTCAATTTGGGTAACTCCCAGAATCATCTTAAGAGGACCAAAATGTGGTTTAAAGGTCACATTGCTAGGTCACATTGTGCCCCAAAAGTCACACTGCTGATTGCTCCAGTGAAGATACCACTGCTGCTGTCACCTCCACTACTAGGAAAAGGAAGTGCTGCGGCCTGCATGGCTGAGCCCACTGACACTGGACAGAAGCTACTGCTGGAACTGCCGCCACAGCTGCCCATCACAGAATGAATTCCTTATTGCCCCTTCTTCCAAAATGTCAGGACAAGGTTTAGGGTGGGTGTTTCCGTTGGTGGAGCCTGGGTCAAGAGCCCACAGCCTCAGTTACAACACAAATGAGGTGGAATGTGGATGGAGAGAAGTCTAAAGAGGTAAAAGAGGGTCAAATTGTAGGGGATCTGACTTACTGGTTGTTAAGCATGGAACACATACCACCAGTGGTTGAAGGTCAAATACCAAAATGTAGAACTATTAAAATGAAAATGTATTAGAAAAATGCATCTAGCACAAGCCTGAGATTTCATTGTTTACTGTAGGGGCAGGCTACACTTTAAAAGTATAAAGCTTTAAAGCCAATTTAGAGAAAAACACCAAAATAAATAATATGGCAAGTCAGCAAAGATGGTATATGAATGACAAGACTGAGAAGCATGGATGCATGTAAAAAGCCATGGGAAGACTAAGCAAAGGAGAAAAATAGTCTTAAAAAGATCAGTCTGGTGGCAGTAAAGAATGAACCAAGGTAGGCAAAATGGGACAAGAGTCATTATTGGAAAATTAGATCTGTGTGTGAGAAGGACAGAACTAGAGCAGGGCCATTACGGGAAAGGACTCTAATCATTTAGAAGGAGGAAAAGAAGTCAACAAGACTTTGTGATCAGAAGTAAGGAACAAGAGGGACGACAAAAGAATTCTGATGGTCTTGGAGTTTGACTTGAGTAACTAGATAATGAGTGATAGTGTGAAACAGACAATGGGAAGACAGCAAGACAAGCAGATTTGAGGAAGAAGATAATGAATTTTGTTTCGAACCCGTAGAGTTTGAGACCATCTGTGACAGTGAGATGAGGCTACTTAGAACAAAGCTGGTGGAACACTGGGGACATGAGCATTTGAGGGCTGGGAAGAGGAGGAGGATCCCCAAAAGGAGTCCAGGAAGGACCAGGCAATGGAGAGGAGGCTCAGGAGAGAGTAGTGTCCTGACTAACAGAATATTTCAGGAATAAAGTGGTCAGTTGTGCAGTAGAGAGGTCCAGCAAAATAGAGGCTGACCAATCAGTGAGCTTGATCAGAGTAGTTTCAGTGTGATGGTAGGATGGGAGCCAGGCTGAAGCATCACTATCATAAAACTAAATTTGTGACGGCTGCTGTTCTCTACCAAACACTGAAAGCACATACAGACCCCTGCACTCACATATCAGTCTGTTCCAAACGAACAGCTCTCATACCTCTATGTTTAAACTATCTCAGGCTCTCTATTGGTTCTTGCTGAAGCAGACCAGATTCTTGGGTCTCAACCAGAGTTGCCTGCTCTTCTCTCTCATGGAGCACCAAATGGAACAGAAGAATAAATGTCCCTAGCTTAGTTGAGGGGAACCAGAATAGCTCCCATATGGCTTCCTGAACCCCAGGACCCTTGGCTGGTCACGGGAATACCGTTCATTTAGGCTGTCACCGCTTCAGTACCACAGCTGGGTCAAGTTACCATAATTACAATGACAGGACAAACTGTTTATAACTATCTTACCCACAGAACACTCATCCTACTTCTGAAAATAAAAGGGCAAATTGGGCTTCCCTGGTGGAGCGGTGGTTGAGAGTCCGCCTGCCGATGCAGGGGACACGGGTTCGTGTCCCGGTCCGGGAAGATCCCACATGCCGCGGAGCGGCTGGGCCCGTGAGCCATGGCCGCTGAGCCTGCGCGTCCGGAGCCTGGGCTCCGCAACGCGAGAGGCCACAACAGTGAGAGGCCCACGTACCGCGCAAGATGCTATTCTCTTCTGCATTAATTACCTCACGTTTTTCATTATCTTAAAATCCAATTCCTCACTAGGTAGCCAAGTTAAAGAGAATGAGAACCACATCATATTTACACATTATTACATCTCCCACATGTAGCACAGAGCATACTGTCTAAAAGTGAATTATAATGCTCAAACCACTTGAAGTGTTTTATATAATCTTTGTTCTTAAGCTCTAGGAATTGCCGGGGAAATAATTACCTCTGGAGTGAAAAAACAGCTATTTGAAATTCAGCAATTCCTTCTGTTTCACTAGGGTTTCTTTTCCTTTTCTATAAAATTCATTTAGAATTTAAAATAGAAACCATATTATGATTCCATTTTTATAAAATATTTCCATATAGCTATTCTTCTGTCTGTATATGCATATAAGACATCTAGAGGCACAAGAGGGGGGGAGCCCGGCTCCCACAAAAAAAAAAAAAAAAAAAAAAAAAAAAAAAGGCAAATTACCGTGGCTACAACCAGAATCCTGAGCAGAGGCACTGCACCTAAGCCTTGCCAGAGCAATTACTTCATTTTTCTCAGGCTCTCTTTCTTACTAAAATAAGTGGTTACCTGAGAGAGGAACCATTGAGTGTCCTTACTAAGCCCAGGGAAAGGAAAAAAAAAAAAAAAACCAGACAAAGGTAAATATATTCATTCAAGAGAACAGGAAGTATAACTGATGCCATGGCAACACCAGCAGCCTGTGACATCAGAGCAGAAGGCAAGGAACAAAGGGATTTATGAGCTACCTTTCCATGGGTCTTCTCTCCCTTGAAATTTGACCCATGCCGCTTATTTGGTACTGTTTCAGAATAGAGCAACTGAAACTCCTCTTGGTATCTTTCTCCAACGTATTTCTGGAGATTAGCCGAAACCACATGCTGGAAACCTGCTGAGTGCCACAATCTTATTAACATGCAATGAGATTCTGTTTCAGACCGCTGGTGATACCGGACTGCCAATCGGCTACAGGGTAAGGATATAAATTGTAAAGCGAAAAGTATTTGAAAAAAATTAAAGGGGAGACCAAATAAACTGAAGCTTCATCATCACTTTAGGTTGGAGATTTTACACAGGAAGTATCTGAGGGAGTGGAATTTTAGGGAGAATGGCTTCCCCAGGTTGGAGTGGAAAAATACCAGGAGCTGTGGCAGGAAAGGAGGTGTACAAAGCATGAGTAAGAGAAGCTGCTTATAAATGTTCCCTTCCCCCTCATTCAGCAGCCTCAGCTGGATACTATTAATGTCCCCTGTGTAAGAGGCTACAATTGAACCTAGTCAGAAGTCTCTTCAGACAGAATAGAACAATGAGCAGGCAATTTGAGCAAAGCCAGGCTCAGTTTATCAGATGAGCTGCAGGATTACCAGGTATTAAAAAATAGTGATTAGCAGAAATTGCTTTCCCTCAGTGTAAAATTATGCTTTTAAAAACAATGTGTACAGGTGATTTAAAGGGACAGTATCTTCATTTATAAGCGGTGGGGAGGGGGGTCAACTTCCTCCCATTAGGTAACCTGTGACACATTAAGTGTAAATCTTATCTCTCATCTTTGGTGGTAGACTTGGAGAATTATTAAAGAGATTAATTATAGTTCCTTCTTCAGTAGGGTCTCTTTATTATTTAACAGAAAAGGTTTGAGTATTCAAATCAAGACACCACATCCATATGTAACCAGAGGTGTATGGAAGACACACGGTGACTTCATTATTCCTGTTTTAGAGGGCGATAACCCACCCCTAGAATGGGCTCAATGATCAGCAGAGGAGGTTTCAAAGCAAGCACGGGTAGGGGATTTGTAGTTCACCTAGATTCTGTATTAGTATCTCCAGGACCTATAGTTCCCTACTGCCATGCCTTTTGCACTTTATAGCTTCAGAAGAGATATGTGAATGGCCCTAATAAAATAGAGGAAATGGCCTTGAACAGCAGCTAGGAACATTTGGGTTAGATATAAGAACCTTCCTACCATAAGGGTGTTGGAATTTGGTACCCTGTCACTAAAAAGGTTTTCCTTTACTATATAAATGGCATTTATCTTTGGGTTGGATTTACCTCTGGTTCTGTACGTTTAGAGTACTATCCAGATTACAAGACTGCAATGTTACTTTTGATTACCTGGGGTGCTTGTGAAAATGCACATGTCTGGGTCCTACCTCAGAGCCAATAAACCAGACTCATCCACTGAGAAGCCTAGGAATCTCTCTTTCTCACAAGTAAACCAAGCGATTTTCATAATCAGGGAAGTTTGGAGAAAACGGACCAAAGGCTCTGCTTACAGTAATAGAAAGTTCTTAAACCTTCCTCTCTTCAAGTCATTCGTTTCCTAGGCAACGAATGACCTGAAGAGAGGAAGCTGGTTAGACGGATGAATCATAAACACCTCTGACTGAGTTAGGAAAGCTAGAATTTTGGGGAAAGGTTGACTGCACAGTGGGAGTGAGAGCCAGCATGCTCAGCACCACTTCGCAGTCACTAGCAGCTTGTTCCAGGCCCCGCCTCACTCTGCCTCCTTGCCTTCCACACAGGCTCTTTATTGCAAGAAGACTTTGCCTGAAGACTCCTCCATAGATCTTAAGCTGCATGTGGAATCCAAGGGAGGATGGGAAACGCTTTCCAGATACACAGCTGATGCTGTGCAGTTCCTGGATATGAGGGAATAAGACTCTGAACTGGCATGTTACCAGCCCTCAAACTTCTAAAATCCAGCCACTTACCCAAATCGGAGAGCCTTTTCATCAAGCCAGCTTCTCTTACAGCAGTGGGACCATATTCCACTCCTTTTCTTTTCTGTAAGATAAATTACACAGATATGAGAGAAGATGACTAGAAAATAAGACCACTTTAGCTCACGAAAATACAGAAGTCTGCAATGCTATACTTAGTTCCCAGCAGATCCCTCTGAAAACCTGTGACAGCATCAGCCCTTCCTTTTATTCTTTTCACCTGAGGTCTGGTCATTTCAAACACTTGCAGGGAAGGAGAAGAAACAACAATCACTGGATTCAGATCAACCTTCCAAGCCCCTCGTTGTGGGAAGGGCAAGTGGAGGCAAGACAGAGGAAGGGGCTGAGCCAAGTCAGAATCTGGCTGTTGGGTGTACGTGTCGCAGGCCAGGGCCGAGCCCCGGCTTCTCCACCAGTGACCTCTCCACGACTGCAGGTTTCTTTCACTGAAGAGAGAACAGAACAGCCCCTTCCGTCTTCCTGCCGCTAGAGAGGCAAGCACCAATTTCCTTTCCAGTTAATTCTCTTTCTGAGAATAGACCCTGGAGCCTTAAATCCTCGGTCCCTCTCTTTAACCTCTCCTCCCTCAATTTTCCACCGGGGATTCTGGGCGGTTTCTCCTCTTCCAGCCCCTCCATGAAATCCCCTCCCGCCCTTCCTCTCTTCCATCACCCCAAGCGGAACCCACCACTTTCTCGCTCCTCGGGGGTAAGGCCGAAGAAACCCACCAGCCCGCTGGCCCTGCCCACGTGGCGAACCGGGTGCCCTCATCCCCTCCCTCCTTCTACCGAGGAAAATCCCACGTGCTCTGCCGGTGCCCAATCGCGGGAATCCACCTCCTCGTCCCCTCTTCGTTTCTCCCCGTCCCCTCCCCGTTCTTCCCACCGGTCCCGATTTCTCCAGGCTTGGGTGAGGGGGTTGGGGGGTGAGGGGGCGGGAATCCTGCACCAAGGTGCCAGGTCCCAGTTCTCACCTGTCCCCGTGAAAATGGGGCTCCAATGACAGCCACGGAGTGGACAGACTTCTTCGGGACTGAGAGCGCTTGCGTACGGAGAAGAAGCGAGAGGCTGCACCTCAGGGACATGATAGGCAGCGCAGGACGTAGACGAGCGAGAGGCTGCTACGTGCGGCTCGCCGCCTGGGGTGAGCACCGCAGCCTGCAGTGGTTACCTACCGGCGCGCGAGCCGCGCCCCGCCGCGCCGCCCCATGACGTCACCGCCGCCTCGCCCCGCCCACGCCCCGCCGCCTCGCCCCCAACCAGCCCCCGGCACACCTTCCGGCAAGCCCCGCCCACTGCTGCTCAGAGCCCCGAACGCCCTCGCTGATGTCACTCGGCTCTGGCCCAGGCTCTCCGGCCAAGGACAAGCCCCTGCCGCTGACGCCACAGGGCCAAGATTGGGGCCCGGCCAATAAGAGTGCGGTCACGGACAGGTGTGTCCCTGGGCGGGAAGCGGTCGGCTCCTGCAAAATTCGCGAACTCAGCGGAACAAGCGAACGCACACGTAGGCTCGCGGATGGTGCTGTCTTCACACAGAGGCACGTCGGGCAGATGCCTATTTTACGGAACGGCTGGCTGGGCTGGGCTTGGCCCAGCCCCACGTGGGAGCCTTGCGGAGACCAAGCTGGCGTCCCTTGGCTCCGTTTCGTATCAGAGCTCAAGGTCCAGGAAACGTGCTTATCCCATATCCCACCTTTGGGCGTCGAAGGCTAGGAGATCAAACTTAGATTAGAGCTCTCCCGGCCGGGCATGTTAATAGTAACCCACCTATTTTAGATGGGAAGGTTAGGATTTACAAAGTACCTTCTAGGAGTTTTAAATTCTTTACCTGAATAACTGGAGCACTGGTTATTAAAAACCAAACATAGCAACATATCTGGACTACTATTTCAGTGAGCCTAAAGAGCTGAAAGTAACTGCTTAAAGTTTTAATAATAATAATATTTTAATAACAATAACCAACTAAAGTTCTAAGAACTTTTAGCCCTCTAACAATTCCATAAAGTAGGGATTATTTTAAAGACGAGATTACAGGATCAGAGAAGATAATTTACTTTTCCAAAGTCAGGTAGCTTGTAAGTTGGTAGAGCTATGTGACTCTAGATTCCAAGTTCTTATCCATGACTAGTGTCTTGCAGGAATGGCTTGCAGGAATCTGGACGTTAGTCCTACCAAAAATAAATTTTTAGGTGCTTCCCTGGTGGCACAGCGGTTAAGAATCTGCCTGCCAATGCAGGAGACACGGATTCGAGCCCTGGTCCGGGAAGATCCCACGTGTCGCGGAGCAACTAAGACCGTGCGCCACAACTACTGAGCCTGTGCTCTAGAACCCACGAGCCACAGCTACTGAGTCCGCATGCCACAACTACTGAAGCCCGTGCTCCGCAACAAGAGAAGCCACCGCAATGAGAAGCCCGCGCGCCGCAAAGAGTAGCCCCCGCTCACCGCAACTAGAGAAAGCCCGCCCGCAGCAACGAAGACCCAACGCAGCCAAAACTAAAATAAATAAATTTATTTTCTTAAGTTATTAAAGATAATATTCTGAAATTACATAAAAGAATGAATTGTTTTAGAAATTTACTTTAAAACTTGTAGTACTGTTGTTATAGCATAGTTCTAGGACCCTTCCTCAGGTCCAAACCAGCTGATTCTGTTTTTCTTCTTCCTTTATAGGACGACCTAGAGATTCTGCCTCTTTGATTCAGTGGCTGCCAACACATACTCTATCCCTTGATAGGTTGCTGGGAGTGTGTGTTGGGGGTGAGGGTGGTGAGTAGATAAGACCTGATTATGGTCTTATGTATGTTGGGCGAGTTCCCTGGGGTAAATACTCCCCCACAGCTACCATTTCAAGCTACCATAGTGATGTCACTGAACATGGAGCTGGGAAACGGTGCTCACTATATGATGTTTCCACCATACATATACAATCAACATAAATAACCTCAACAGCATAAAAAATAGTAAGACACAGTAAAATAATTAGGCATAAAGTTTTGAGTGTATATTATCTTTGTTTTTAACATAATTTACTTGTAAGTTTATATAATTAGACTTTTAATGATGGCAGTGTTTAACAACTGGCTTGCAAAATTCCTGAAAATTTAACAGTAGGGTTTTGCAGGTGGCTAAAAGCAGGTTCCAGCACACCACTGTTTACTGCAAATCCAAGGGAACTCAGAAAGGACTAAATTGCAAATTCTCAAAGGCAGGAACCATGACTTTTTCTGTTCATCGTTTGGTCCTTTCCTGAGTACAGTGCTTGGCACATAGCAGGAGCTTGGTAAATAATAAACAAACCTTCCAGATTCTTATGAAGCCCTTGCTCATGGTCCTTGGTCTATGGCTCTGATATGGTAAGTGGAAATTCCCAAAGATTTCTTTTGGGACTTCTGCTTTTACATACTAAAGGGCTGAGCTCATTGACCACACCTTTCGACTAAAATTTAGAGCCTCTTAATTTAAGATATTCATTCATTCATTTACTGTCAATATTTAACGTGCAAAACATTGTTCTATGTGCTGCTGATAAAGATGAAGACATAATATCACTCCCAGTACTTACATCCTAGTGGAGAAAACAGTCAAATAGATACATAATTTCAGATGGCAGTAAATGCTATGGAGAAAATTATGCAGGGTAATGGGACAGGACATGATGTTTTAGAGAGGGGTGTCAAGAAAGGCCTCTCCAAACTGACATTTGAGCCAAAGACCTGAATGACGAGAAGGAGCTGCCATAACAGGTTCTAGGAAAAGAGCCTTCCAGGCTTACGGGAACAGCAAGATCAAAACCCCCGAAGTTGAAACCTGCTTGTAGGTCAGAGGAAGAACAAGAATGCCCGTGTAGCCCAAACGTGCAGAGCAGAGGAAGCACGGTGGCTTGGGTCAGACTGGTAGGTGGGGGGTCAGGTCTCAGGGGTAGCGTTGAAGAGCGTAAACTTCAGAAGAAGACTTTTTTACACAAAGGCAGAGGGTTAATGGTCCTGAATCTGCATTAGGGAGTTGGGAAAATGTGGTCCCTTCTTTCTCATGTTTCCATCCTGGAGCTGAGAGAATTAACATAACAACCCTAGAATACGGTTAAAGTAAGGAAGCAAAGGATGAGTTCTATGGAGGGTAAAACTTAAGATGTCTGTTTACCATGCAATGGAGATTCCTGGGTTCAGTAGAAAGGTGGGAGTGAAGGGACTAGAGGAGGGGGCATAAGAGTAAATGCCTGGTTTCATTGCCTGCCCAACCAGCAGCCCTGTGTGGAGGCAGGTGCCTGAGCCCCTCAGGCTCATCACTCCCCCTACCCCTACCACCACCACCACAACACAGAGGGGTTTTTATCTGGGGCCCTGATCAGTGATGGAGAAGTGAAAGCAGACCAATGGCTGCCATCAAGGACCAAATGAAATTTAGGTGTGAAATCTCTTTTAGTGCCAGCAGAGGCTGGGGCTGCCGAAGACACCAGAACACTTTGTCCTTTGTTCAGGTTCCATACTGAAAACGAGCTTCGAGCCCTTTGCACTTTACTGTTCTTTCTATTGGGAACCTTACATCCTTCGTCCTTTTCCCTCCCTCCCTTCCCTTCCTTAATTTCTTCTCATTCTTCAGATTTTCATTTTGAAGTCACTTCTTCAGAGAAGCCTCTCCAGACCCTCCAAAGCTGAGTTAGTGATAATAGTACTTGCTAACATTACTGAATGATTACTATATACTAGATACCTGCTCAACACTTTGCAAGTGTTAATTAAATTCTCATCACAAGGCAGTGAGGTAGGCACTGGTATTTCCATTTACGATATGGTAACCAAGACCTGGTAAGGCTAAGTCATTTGCTCAGGGTCACAGAGTAAGGAGTCAAAAGCAGAATCCAAAACCAAGTCAGATCAAGGGTATTAATTACCCCTTCCATGGTTCACTTAATCCTCTGACTTATAATTGCCTATTTAGAGGATTATCTCTTTCTCCTGGAGAGCAGCTTGTTTGAGAGCCTGAATGGTGTCTTACTATCATTTAACACAGTGCTACATGAAGGGTGTTCAATAAATTTGTATTGAATAAACAGATATTAAATGACGTGTCTTTTAAAATTGAAGTATAATTAATTTACAATATTGTGTTAGTTTCTGGTGTACAGCAAAGTGATTCAGTTATATATATGTATTCTTTTTCATATTCTTTTCCATTATAGGTTATTACAAGATATTGAATACAGTTCCCTATGCTATCCAGGAGGACCTTGTTTATCTTAAGTGTCTTTGAAAAGAAGTCTTGTCTCTTTATGCTCTGAAAGTTCTGAGGGTGGAATTACCACTCTTATATGGGACAGGGAAGATTTCATGGAATTGGCGTTCAAGCCAAGCCTTAAGGATTTTCCAGGAGGAATCTGTAGGGTGTCTGGGGAATGGTGAGAATAGTGCTTTCAGCTAAGAGGCATGAACTTGAGTGATGGAAATGGAGGGAGAGAGTCAATAAATATTTGGGTGCCCACTATTTGTCAGATAGTGTTTTAGGATCTGGGGGTACAGTGTTAGAATCCAAGCTCTCCATGAGACAGAGAATTGTAGGTACCGATATGCGTGATAAATGAAATACGTGCGAAAAATAAGGTAATGTGGTAGAGAGTATGTATGGGGGAGAACTTCGTTTAACTAGTGCAGTCAGGGAGATGAGGGACAGATGTTAAAAGTACTGCGCAACTGGAATAGATGGCACTTAGCTACAGATTAGGGAGAGAAACAGAGGAGAGATTTTAAGCCTGGGTGAGGAGGAACATGGTACTAGAGTAATATTGATACATATAATATAGAGTAATAGAATGGTGGTACTAGAGTACTAGTTCTGAAAGGATGAATAGCCTACCAAGGTAGTAGGAAAATTACTTTAAACTAATAATATCTGATTATCAGCCATAAAAAGAACATTAAAAAAAAAAGAAAATCAGAGCCTCCTGAAAATACAGCTGCCATTGACTCCCACCAGCTCACCCCACTGAGGGATTTTCCTGATTGGGAAACGACTGACTTTTAACACCAAAAAGGGAACCAGCTGCCTATTAGCATCAAAAAGCCCAACAGAACTTTCCATACTTTGAAGCATGAAGCCCTAACCCCCTCTCCTTTTGTTAAGCTGGTGTATATAGCTTTACTCTGGCTATTCAGCGAGTTACTCATCACTGAGCAACTTTCTTTTCTCCTGTTAATCTACTGTCAGTTAATTCGCAAGCCCCCACTCACTTGAACCTAAAATGACAGAGGAAAAGGTTTCCTTCCAACAGTTTTCAACCCTGGCAGCTGTTAAAAAGAACCTAGGGACCTTTT